AATATATATATATATATAGAAAAAACAACTAAAAAGTTGCAAATTAAAAAAATAATAATGTTTTTTATGAAAGTATTTATTTATATTTGATATTTCCGATCGACCTCGATCTTTCTTCAGAAATATATATATATATATATATATATATATATATATATATACACACACACACTGGACTCTCCCGTTGCTTTCAACTTACGCGGGTCAAGAAGCTCATTTTTTTTAGATCCAACAGCCAAACTACTCACACATATCATTTGATTATAGTGGTGAAGGCTTTTTCACAACCAACCACACTTTTTGGAAGATCCGAATACACAGAACTGTGATGCCACAAGATACACAAACAACTCTTCGCAGGTTTTGAATTCAGAGTTGGCCTTCTAGACCCGTTGGCACCCAACACTATAGAAACCAGTCTGTCATGCTATTATACCCATAGCTATATATATATATATATATATATATATATATATATATATACCTGAAGACGTGTGTGTATGTGTATTCTATTTATGCACGTCCACATTTCTCGACTGATGTCGATGAAATTGTACACGCAAGTTGCGAATTTACCAAAAAACAATTTAAAACCAACTTTTCAATTTCCAGTCCCCACTCTGTATTTTGCAGAAAAATTCAAATGTTCTATATATTCGAGCGCTTTCGGCTATTCTTTTAGCCATTCGCAAGGATTTTTTTGCCAGCTGGATCTGTAGATTTTTATATATGTGTATCTATAGTGATGGGAATCTTTTATTTATTTTACATGTTTGAATATATCTTAATTCAAGTTTATTTACTTTTTATTAATAATAATTTGAGAAAAGGTTAATGAACTTTTTATTTAAGTTTGATTTGTTTGAAAACAGCATTAACAGAGTATTTATGTTAGTATTTAAATCGAAAAATAAAGTGTCTTTTTGAAAATAATATGGGGATGCTCAGCCCCCTAAGCCCCCACCCAAGAGCGTGGTATTGGTATAATTTTCCTAAATTTAGTTATTTTGTAACAAACCAAAAAAAAAAAAACAAAACAAAAAAACAAAAAACAATGAAGTTTTTAAAGATTGAATAAAAAATTATATTCAATAAGATGGCTGAAAAATATCAATAAACTATTATTCAGAGATCTTCCGAGGAACTACAGGTATACCTACTAGTTGTGAATAAGTCCTGAAAATTTAATTAAAATCCAACAATTATTTGAGTTTTGCAAGAATTTCCTAAACAATGTGTTTTAACGCCAAAAAAGACGCTAAAATTTCCAATACTAATCGTTGGCCCAACCTCTGACGCAAGAAAAACAAGATTTTCAACCAAAATTTCGAACGTACTAGAAAGCATTAAACAATTTAATAAAATATTCAAAAAATACTTTGGTTTTTCCTCTTAATAATAACATGAACATTTAGATGATAAAAATTTTAAATCAAGTTTGGGGCCTTTTTTTCATCATGGTATGATCTTTATTAGAAAATTTTTGAAGGTACCCATATACAGGATGCGATGGACAAGTTGTCATCTAAATTACACAAAAATGAAAATAACACTGAGATCTCATTTTAACAGATATATTTACCAAAATTACACAAAAATATCTTGAAATATTATTCAATAAAATCGACATTGGCTTCAACTACGGCCTCCAGACGACTTTGAAATCTCCTACATCTCTTCTGGAAGATCTCCTTGTTTAAGTTGCTGAATGCTGCTATGATCCTTGCCATCAGTTCGTCTTTGGTGCTACAAGGAGTTTTGTTGGTCTTTCACTCAACTGCGCTCCACTCACAATAATCAAGTGGATTTCAGTCTGGGGAGTCAGATGTAAGTGGTAATGTGGTCGCAGAAACCATAACTGTATTCTCCTGCTTGTGTGGCATGGTGCATAATCCTGTTGTCAGACATAGGTTCTTCCAGCAGCCAACCTCTTGACCCAGAGCAGCACTATCTCCTCAAGGCACTTGATATAGGCCTCCGTATTTAGTCTGAGACCTTCATCAACAAATTTGGGAGTTCTATTCTTAACAGAACGATCAAAGTTAGTTTTTCGAGCTACCGTACCTTCGTAATCACCATTAGACTCATCCAACTCCTTCCTAATCCTCTGCACTGTCCTCAGATTGACACCAAACACTTTGGAATGTTCGTTTTGGAGCTTCCGGTGCGAATGCCAAGCAGTACAGCATGACATTTCCAAATTTCTGGCGGAGAGAATTGTGTCATGGTGCCATTTTTCTCACAGACGGTTCCCAACTGACCCTACTATACTATGTCGACAAAATCAAAATCATGCGCGAAATTAAAAATATAAAATGGCGACAATTTACCCATCGCACCCTGTATGTATAATACTCCCGATTTCATTAGGACACATTGAAATGATCATGCTTGTAGCCATATGCACGACATGCAGGTTGAAATGCAATTCTCAAACATGGCTCAAAAGTCCATTAAGGAAACATCATTGTCACGAGTTAATATTCCACCCCAATATATATATATATATATATATATATATATATATATATTTAGTTCGATTGATGTAAGTTTGTGACCCTGGGTTTCATGCTATTTGCGATCGTCAGACAAACGTATATATATATATATATATATATATATATATATATATATATATATATATATATATGAAAAATATAGAAAATAGGAAGGAACTGGTTATGTCGCGTATTGGAATCATATTTTTAAATAAATAATTAATATATATATATATATATATATATATATATGGAAGTTATACAATTATGAGTTGTATTTTGATCTAGACTTTTTGAATAATGTTCGATTCGTCACTGAATGAAGTTCATTGACAAGGAAGGAGATTATATTGCCAATCATTGTTTATTGTATAAACGAAATAGCATTTTCATCATTAGGCTATGGACATATTGATGTACTTTCTCTCTCTCTCTCACTCTCTCTCACTCTCTCTCTCTCTATATATATATATGCTTGGTGATCTTTGCTATATTATGATCAAGTGGAATGGTGAAACGCTGTAAAAACCTTACTGTGGATGATCTCCCGTTTAAAGTACACATTCTAAACATTTTCGTGTTAGTAAATTGATTCCTCTTTTAATTAGGGTTGCATTTTTTAAATCAAAATTGTGGTCAGTCTCGTTACAATAAGCAACTAATGCATTCAATGTGTTATTTTGTAAAAGTTTCCTTTTGTGTTCATATAAACTTTTATTTAAATTTCTTGAGTTTGTGGAAACTTTTTCCACTTTGTCATACTTCTTTTCCTAAAATTGTTCTCGATATATAAAAATAAATAAATAAAATTTTTATATATCGTTATCATATGTTTTACTCTCAAGCCACTCGACCGGCAGGCCCAAGCCTGATTGGGTGTTCCGGGCAGTGCTTTGTGATTCTTGCTATCTTATCAACATTTCCTTTTTCCTACCTAAATTACTAAGTACAACTGACTATTAAATGATGAAAAAGATTTTGTGGATTATGACGTCATTCTGAGGTCCCTTTTTTTTTTCGTTGAAACCTGTGAATTTGTTCTGCACATGCTATGTCTCGAAAAAGTACACCATAAAAATCGTTATTTTTTTTATATCTATGATGTTGAATGTGTTAAATTATTCAACTTTTTAACAAGAAAAATCTCAAGTTGATATATTTAAGATAAAATGATGTATTATGACACTTCCCTAATTTGTATTTAGATACAATGTATTTATTTTCAGTTTCTCTAATTTAATTTTCACTTATATTCCATATGATCCATTATTGTACATAAAATGTCTATATCTCAATTTTCATATAAAATAGAGTGGGTGGTCTCCTATCATAGATTCGGGTGTCGGGGGACACGAGAAACTTTCACTGGCCCTATATATATATATATATATATATATATATATATATATAATAAATTAACTGAATTCGCTTGAGGATGAAATGGAACTAATGTCTTTAATTTAATTACAAAATTAAATTCGAAGCTTTTAGCTTCCAATTTTTGAAACATGGTTAGAACTGTGTAGCGAAAAAACATTTTAAATCAGTTAATTTGTAATATTAATGCTCTGTAAATTTACATTGAGCACTATTTTGTAAAAATAAAAATATCTATAAGAACACCGGATTATATATCTTACTGTTCTTTCTTTATATATATATATATATATATATATATATATAGTGTGCGTGTAGTTCAGATGTTTTGTTTCACATGTGCTCGGAATGATCGGAAAGAGAAGAGAAGAGAATGCCATTTGCAAGTGAATAATCATGTATGTTTTGTCTGTCTGTCTGTCTCTCACCAGAAAACAAAGATAAAAAATAAACCATCCTTAGACAAAGAATTATTTATGATATTGACTAAATCGAGGACCAGTTCTGAAACGGGAAGATAAGTTTGTTCGAGAAATAGCTTAAAAGAAATTTGTTTCCTATTTTTTGTAACAATCAAAAGGAGGCTTTGAAGAGGCAGCAGGTGGTATGTGTCAAGTGGTTCGAACCTATTGGAAAAAAACAGTCATGAAGCTTACACATCAAACCTCGTGCATTATATTAATGAAAATCGTAACTCCCATATCTTCTCGGGTTTATTTTCCGTAAATTATAGCTGCCACCTCCGCTGTGATGTGTTTTGGTACAACAATAATTATGAAGTGGGGGAAAACGCTAAAAAACCGGAAACTAGGCGTTGTCATCTTTTAGATAGACTTTTCCGTGAAAGCGTGAGAATACAACTCTCACGATATTTAAATGAATGTGGTTACGTGTATTTGACTGAGTATTAAAAATAAAAATCAGATTTAATTCTTTATGTTTTTCTTCAGTTAATAAATGTAAATTGCAATAATTTGGTTCATGGTTTTGTTTGAAATTTCGTCTCTTGGCGATCATTATTTCCTTCGACAATTTACTTTTCGAATTTTTCCATCTTTTCTAACGCCATAATTATTATCTTTTTTGTCTAGACTATCAGTCTTTCTAGGTTTACAGTCACGTCACGTTAAAAGACCGGTTCTCGTGCGATCACCGAAGTTAAGCAACGTCGATCCTAGTCAATACCTATATTGTTGACCGCTTGGGAATACCAAGTGCTGTAAGCTTAGATATTCGGGTGGTGTAATGGATAATGGCTCGGAATTGTTAATCGGAGAGCCGAGATCCAATTCCCATTGGGTTCGTTATATTCATTTACGCATAAATACACTTGGGAAAGGCATGAATCCACCTCCTAACAGCTATAGGTCAATTAGTAAAACTTGTATCACTAAATCATTATTAACGCTCAAAAAATTCTTACAATCTAAAAAAATATTTTCCGGTCTTAAATAACCTGCAAAGGGTTGATAAACCGTAAAAAATTAATCAATCTTCCTTTTCCTTTTTCTTAATTTCATCACCTTCATTTGTTCACTATTCGACTTCACACGCTTATTTTTTTACTCGCAGAGTCTATCATAATTTCCACCATCAATAAAATCGTCTTCATCATATTCAATTTTGGCGCCATTTTATTCTTTACCCTCTATTTTTTTGCCTCCTTCTTCTTATCCCCTCTCAGTCAAAATAATGGAAACTTGAAGATGACCAGAGTGTACTTGGTCGAAACTTGAAATCTATAATATCTACAACAATCAAAGATAAGAACAACAGTCGAAATAAATTGCATAAATCAAAGCATATTGACAAATTCCTCGTGTCTAAAAAACAAAATTATCGAAATGTATTTTGTAAACAAAAACTGCCACACACACACACTTTGTATAAATAACTTAATAGGCATCTTTGAAATGTAACAATATATAACATTTGAAATACACAGTGTTCGACATTCTATACTCAACATTATTTTTGTTTCATTTTTTTTTATATACAGTCTACTTCAAAGTAGAAAAATGTAGTTTTTTAAATAACATTCATAAGTAATTGCGTGTGTGTCTACTTCAAAGGGTTACTAATAAATATTTTACCAACTATAAACTCACGTCAATAACAACCATATTACGTCACCAACATTTATTGAATCCATTCTTTTAAATCAAATATATGATGCAGTTCAATTTATATTACATGAATCATCCATACAAAAAGTAGTAAAGTTAATGATATAAATGGCGAAAAACATCTTCGCAAACAAATTTATTAAAGTTGCATTATCCTACAAACCACTCGATGAATTTTATGATCCTTGTTTTTAATAATTTCAAGTTGTATAAAGTCTTTTTTTATTCTGCTAGTACTTCCGGCTGTACATTCAGGTTGAATTCTCAAATTACCATATTAGTAAAAAAAAAACAAAAAAAACAAAAACGCACTCTCTTAAATTTTCAAAAAGAAGAAAAAGAAAAAGAAATTCAAACTTAGCGTTGCGACTGCACGCTCCATAAGTTTTTATCCGTTAACTATAATACATTTCTAACAAAAACATATTTCGGTTCGCATTTAATTTTTCGTGCCCGCTATTACCTGGATCTACTAAAAAGAAAGATTCCATGCCTGAGGATGGCTGAATGTGCAGCCGAAAGTACTAGCAGAATTAAAAAAGACCTTATACAACTTGAAGTTATTAAAAACAAGTATCATAGCATTCATAGTGGTTTGTAGGTTAATGATAAATTTGTTGAGAAGAATTTATATCATTAATTTTACTAATCTACTTTTTGTATGAATGATTCATGTAATATATAATATTATATATATATATATATATATATATATATATATATATATATATAAAATCTTATAAAATATAAAATATTGTAAAAATAAAAAGACACGTTAATTGTTCGGATAGGCTTTCCTCATTGGTACCTCGACTTCACAAATTTAAACGCAGTACTACATTGATTGGTAGCTGGGTTTCATAATTTTACTGTTGAAATGGTTAGTTTTAAAAACCTTAGGTTCTATGCTAATAGTGTCTTCTCTTGCACTTCTCTCTTGTGAAATTCTCTTCCTGCTTCCTGTCGACTATGATCTTCAAAAATTTAAATGCAATATCTGTCGTCATCTTTTGTCTCTTTGACTCTTGTTCTTTTATTGCCCTCTCTGTTTCTTTCACTCCGAGTAACTCCTTGCATACTAGTGGCTTTTATTGCACTGCCTGGGATGAAATGATCACGCACATCCCCCCGCGTGTATGTGTATATATAACGTAGTCTCGAAACGTATTCGTATTACGATCAGTTCGATCTCTAGGCCTGAAACACTTGTAATCCTGTGTTAACAATAGTTAATAAATAAATAAAACCTCGAGTTTTAAAGCTATATATATATTTACATTTTTTAATCATTTGCCCGAAGCAGGGCGCTAATTAAGATGTTTAAGGTATATAATGGATATATTCCTACTCCTATTCATAAGACATGGAATGAATCTGAACCAGGCGAATTGAATCCTATATAATCTAAGGATTTACTTATCTTCCGAAACATATTTCTTAAAACTTATATATATATATATATATATTAAGACATTTTTATGTTTAACATTCTTTTTAATAAATTGTCGGACTTTGTCCAATATATATATATATATATATATATATATATATATATATGTGTGTGTGTGTGTGTGTGTGTATTTTGATAGCTATGTTTGGTTGAATAATCTAAACATATGTCTATTTATTATAATTTTAATCCTCTCAAATTCACAGACAAATTTCTTGGTGTTATTATTAAATTGATTAAGAAAGTCGCCGTAGTTTTGGTTATTTCTTTTATTTTCCCAAGTACTTTTAATCTTATCCAAGATCATCGTCGGGGGGGGATTAATTTAATTGATAGTTGTATTTTTTTGTAACTACTCATCAAAAGCACTCCGTTATAGTCAATTTAAAATTAACTGTTAAGAATATGTAAGGCAGTAACTTAATTTATATTTTTTTATTATTGTTTTAAATACTCAACCTGCAATTTAAAAATTTTTTTTTACAATTTGAGTATCCCAAAACATATTTATAGGCATTTTAGAACATTATTGCTATACTTATAATTAATCTTATTTAGTGTTGGTCTCATTTTTTAAGTTTTTGGTTTTCATTTTCATGGTGGAGCATACTTGTATTGCCAATACTCCTCTAAAACATAAATGTGGACTGGAATGTTCTTTTAAATGTTGTGCAACAGAACTTGAATCAGACATGTGTAATGTAAGCCTTCTTGATAATGTTGTCGTCGTGAGAGCAACATGCGTATTTACTTTGTCATAGATACAATTTCCCAAAAGATATTTAATTTTATTTTAATTCTCAGACCAAATTCTTAATGTTGATTCATTAAGGAAGGCGCTGTTGTTTGTTTTTTTCATTTCGTTTTTTTTTTTCCACAAGTATTTTCAATCTCATGCAAGATCATCTTCGGTGGCGAATTGCTAAGACAAAAAAAATGAATGTAATTTATACTCATAACTAACCTTATTTAGTGTTGGTTGTTTTTTTTTTCTTATAGAGAGGGCCTCAAGAATTAGAAATTTTTCTTTTTCATTTTCATGTTGGCGTATATTTATATTGTCAATTAATATTTTCTGAATTGTGAATGTGGACAGGAATGTTCCTTTAAATGTTGTGCTATGGAACTTGAATCTGGCATATGTAGTGTAAGTCGCCTCGATAATGTTGTGAAAGAAACATATTTACTTTTTTTGTCAGCGATAAAATCTCCCATACGATATTTAAATTGATATAAAATGTTGGTCTTTTGCAAAACATGATTTGACGGAGAAGAGTCATTGCTGTTTAATTTGGTTGTATTAAATGTAACGTAGTATATAATTAGTTTTATGTTTTTTACTGTGATATATATTAGAAATTATGAGTTTTATTTTATCTTGTTTGTACAAGAGTATATTTGATTGCGGCATAGGGTGATATGTTTAGGGTTATTTGAGGAAGCATTATGTTCTGTTTTTATGTTAATATTTCTAACAGCTCGTATAATTTGTTCATTAACAATGTAATTAGGAAAGTGATTATTCATGAGAGTTTATTTAAATTTTTTTAATTCGGTGTAGAATATATTTTTTCATGGAAGTGTTAACTTTTGCACGGTTTATTAAATTTGTATAATCGTTGTTTTGTAATTGTTAGGACACTCGCTTTTATAGTTGAGAGTGCACGTTTTAGTTTTTATATGGAGAGGTAGGAAGTGTATTATTATAGGTATCTATCGAAAAGGAATCCTGTTGTTATTGTTAAGTTCATATGCGAACTTATAACGGAGATTTTTGGAAGGTTTTTATAGTTCATTTATTTAGTCTGTTTTTAATTTATATGAGAATATCATCTACATATCTTAGGTAGATGGAAAATCTTTTAGTGACATTAAATATCTTATTTTCAAGGTTAGCCATGTAGAAGTTACTAAATGTTGGTCCCAGAACTGAACCCATGGAAACGCCATCACGTTGTACGTATATATTATTTTAATGGTCATAGAAGGCAGCTTCAGTAGTACAAGTCAATAGTAGCTTCCGTAGTATGTTAGATTTAATTTTTAATCATGGGAGAGATGGATTGTGATAAATATTCTTTATAATTATATCAATCATTTCTTTAACTAAGACATTGGTAAATAAACTTTCAACGTCAAGCGAGGCTATGGTTTCATTATTAGATTTTTGTGTTTTTAAGATTTGGATTAGTGAGTTGATTTAATGCTGTATTTATTAGGTATGTATGGCGTATGATCAACCGGAGTGGGGACTTGGAATATCATAGGACGAAGAGGGAAATTAGGTTAATGTATTTTTATAGTTCCATATATGTATCCTGGTTTGTAGTCACCAATTATTTTGGGAAGTTTTAAGTTGTTTTTTTTCTACGTGGTTGGCGTGGTTGATCAATTTGTTGATTTTCAATTTCAATTCGTTAATAGGGTTTTTGTTGACTTTTAAAAATTTGGTGTGATCGTCAAGTATTTGTTGTAATTTTGAATTATAATCAATGATTTATTTAATGCAACAAAGATATTGGATTTATCTGCTTGTTTTTAAAATTATATGTTACATAATTTTTTGGTTACAAAAAATTATATATTACATTAATTTTTTGTCTGAGCCCTGAAGATGATCTAGGATGAGATTGAAAATACTTGAGAAA